TCCTTTAGCTACTTATCTAGACTATGGTTTAACAATTTCGAATCTCGATAAGAGTGTTTTCCCGTCGGCACTTTGCCTTACATTCATCATTTAGTTACAAATTGCATTAAATAATCGGAAACTTGATATATTTTTGTAGGAAAAGAAGAACTCACCTCCATTTCCCCATCCACCACTGTGACTACCTAAAAAAAGAGATCGTTTTGCTTACAATTATAAATTATCTAGCTTTCTTTAAGCTCTATGCAAACTCACGTTCTTTCCCATACTCATTTACTAGTTAAGTGTGCTAGGGAGCGAGCCTTTCCACGCAACTATGAGCACAAAGTACAGTGGATAAGCACTACCCAGCTACCAATCTCTACTAAGGTTTAAAACTTAAAAACTAAAACAAAAACTTAAACTTAAGCTCTTCAATTAAAAGAAAAGAGTCTTTTTAACTGTAAAGCTTGTAAAGTAAAGTTTAATTAAAGCATTTCAAGTCTTTTACAAGTCTAGAATCTAAACAGCAACTCCAGCTCATTGCCGGGTCAATCCCAGCCTTGATCTTCAAGTTTCTATTGAAATTTTGCACAAATTTTTACAAAATCAGATTCTTATCAAAGTTTTCAGTACAAATTACCTGATTTTATGAGAATTTAGCGAGAATTTAGCGAGAATTTTGCAAGATTTACCTCCCCATCCGCCTCCACCCCAATGATGTCCCCATCCACCGCCGCCCCAGTGATGACCGCCTCCCCAACCACCTCAAAACCTTTATAAATCTTCTCTAAAGCTTTATCTTATTATCTAGATATGCTTTTATTGTTTACTTTTATAGTTTTATCTATTTACTCAACTCTGAAACTCCAATCTGATCCTCAAATAAGTGATTTTCTTTAAAAATTCTCTGGATAAATCTCTGGATAAGATACTATAGATAAAAATAGCTTTATCTATAAATATATCTATTTATCTATTTATCTTTATCGTTTTGTCTACCTCCTCCAAAGTGTCCTCCTCCACCACCGAAATGTCCTCCTCCTCCACTATGTCCTCCTCCACTATGTCCGCCTCCACTATGCCCTCCTCCTCCTCCATGTCCTCCACCGTGTGCTTGCACGTAGATCAGACAAGCTAGAAAGTAATGGACTTTGTAAAGAATAAATTTTTAAACCTTATTGATTCATGCCTAACATCTTTATCTATTTGCGAACTTTTTCAAACAGTCACTGGTATTCGACTGCTTCAGCTGCTCCAGCTCCAGCTCCAGCTCCGCCTAAAGCTCACACCAGAGCTTCAACCGTTTGCTTTCTATTAATAACTTTACTGATGTGACGATAAATAAGACAACTGGGTTCCTTCCTTTTCTTCCTTTCTCTTCCTTTCTTTCTTTCTTTCTCTTTCTTCTCTGGCAAATTACCGGATAGCTCAGTGGTTAGGGGAAAGGAATCTCCGCAAATCTTTCTTTGTCATTCCTTAATTTATTACTGTTAATGCTAACTGAGCTCAGGCTTAGGCTCAGGCTTCGGCTCAGGCTTAGGCTTGGGCTCAGGCTTAGGCTCAGGCTTAGGCTCAGGCTTAGGTTTTAGGCTTAGGCTCAGGCTCAGGCTTAGGCTCAGGCTTAGGCTCAGGCTCAGGCTTAGGCTTAGGTCATACTTTAGAGCCTCAAAACCTCAAAGATCTTCATCAAAATGATCATGAAATACAATTGATTTAAACTAGCTTGAGTACTGTAAGTTGAACAATATAAAGTCAAAGTCAAACAAAGTCAAAATGCTTTAAGTTGAAGTTGTAAGTTGAATAATCAAGTTTGCTTAGAATTTAAAGCATCTTTAAAACACTCACCAGCTGCAACGAAAAGCGGTAGAAATGATTTCATCGTTGTAAGTTGGAATAAAAGCTGGAATCTTCTCGAACCAAAGGATTCTAAAGTTTCAAATCGAAAAAGGTATATAATTTCGAAATGAGATGAATCTCAAATATAGAACTAGAAGAAAAAGAAACATTCGTTTCCTTGTCGCCAATCCATTTATAGATTCAGTTCGACAAAGCCGGCAAACAGTGTGTTCAGCGAATTGTACTCGCTCCTTTTCTTCTCCTCAACAACACAGGCTAGTCCTTTTTCACGGGGTTAAAAGTTTTCCTTTTCCTTTCTTTCTCTTCATCTTTTCCAAATCCATCTCTAAAGTTTTATCAACAGGATATTCCCAAATTCCCAAATAAAAACAGCACGAGACCGAAAAATCGGTAAACTTTTTGAAAAAAAAAGAATTGCAAGAAATTCAGCGAACTATTGGCGGCTTGCTGAATTCGATCACAGATCGTTTACTTTTCAAATAGCCTTTTAGGCGAATTTGTTGTACTTTTTCGGCTTTTCGACCTAGATCACTTCTTAGATGATATCCGGAATTTGAAGAAATTCATCATACTTCTCTGCTTTCAATTGTTTAGGCTCTTCGAGAGTTCTGAAGAGTTTTGAAAGTGTTCAGGGTAATTTTCAAGTCAAACTTTCACATTTTACAAAAAATGGATTTGCTAGTGGAGCAATTCTTGGACTATGACAACAGCATTCATTCTTGAAACTTGACTTGGGTCTATTCCTGAGCTTGATCCAGGCCTGTGTCCCAGGACCTGATCTTGAGCGCTAGCTTGAGTCCAGGACCTGATCTTGAGCGCTAGCTTGAGCCCAGGACCTGATCTTGAGCGCTAGCTTGAGCCCAGGACCGGTTTTTGAACCCTAGCTTGATCTCAGGACCTGATCTTGAGCCCTAGCTTGAGACCAGGACCTGGTCTTGAGCCTGAGCTTGATCTCGAGCCCTAGCTTATGCCCAGGACCTGCTCTCGAGCCTATTGTCAAAGATGAATTTCATCGATCTCAAAATTGAACCTTTTTAATGAAATAACTTTAAGATCCTTTGTTGGGAATGATATAAATCAAGGGAAAAGTTTGATCGAACTCATCTGTCTCTCCAATTGTCGAATTCGATTTAACACTGACAAAACTAGAGTCTATTCGAGAAATCTCCAAATGTCTTGCTTGCTTGTGAACATCAGAACACCTATCTTGTTAGTCAACTATGAAATCATTTCAGGAAAAGAGTTTATAATCTCACAAGTCTGTTTCTGTTGATCAGAAAAAGAAAAAAGAGAGATCGAATCGGGTGATAACCTTCTTTTTTCTTTTTCCTTTTCTTTTTCCTTTTCTTTTTCCTTTTCTTTTTGACTTTCCATGTGGATGAGATGAGTTTTGCTCTCCAATCGCGCTCTGACCATTAAGAGATCGAATTATGGCTTGATGATGGGAAATGATGGGAAATGAGATCTCTGAAATGCCTTTAGCCACAGAAATCGGCTGGAAGTTGATCTGGAATTTGAACAAAAGATTTAAAAGGATAAATAGTTTAATGATTAGAGATATATTTTGAAAAATGTCAATGAACAATAATTGATCGGTGAGATTGCTAGGGTTTTTGTTTTTACAATAATAACGTAGGTTCTGACCCTAATTAAAGCGTCTTCTCCTTCGCAAAAACGTGTTTATTTTGAAAATGAACATCAAAATCGGATTCCCCATAGGCGAAAACCCGTAAACCGTTGTTTACCGATGGCACCGTTTATTCGCGCACCGGAATTTGGAGCGTCGCGTTCAAACAGACAAACAGACGGACGGACAAACAAAATCAGGGGTTTAAAACGAGTTTTGCGTTCTTTTAATCTAGGTGTAAGCTTGTGACCATCGTAATGTAGGTGTAAGCTTGTGATGATCGTAATGTAGGTGTAAGCTTGTGACCATCGTAATGTAGGTGTAAGCTTGTGACCATCGTAATCTAGGTGTAAGCTTGTGACCATCGTAATGTAGGTGTAAGCTTGTGATGATCGTAATGTAGGTGTAAGCTTGTGATGATCGTAATGTAGGTGTAAGCTTGTGACCATCGTAATGTAGGTGTAAGCTTGTGACCATCGTAATCTAGGTGTAAGCTTGTGACCATCGTAATCTAGGTGTAAGCTTGTGACCATCGTAATGTAGGTGTAAGCTTGTGATGATCGTAATGTAGGTGTAAGCTTGTGACCATCGTAATGTAGGTGTAAGCTTGTGACCATCGTAATCTAGGTGTAAGCTTGTGACCATCGTAATCTAGGTGTAAGCTTGTAACTAAAGCCTATAAGTAGCAGAATAAAGTTTAAAAATCTATCACTTGAACGCAAAAAGCTGTGAAAAAGTGTTTCTAAATGTTCTTTCACTAATTGAAGGTTTGAAGTTTGAAGTGCAGTTTGTCTGTTACCACGTTTTCGCCTTCTGTGTGTGCTTGTGTATTATTCTGTGTAACTTCTGTGACGGTGTTGTGCTCGTGTATTGTTCTGTGTAACTTCTGTGACGGGGTTGTGCCTGTGTATTGTTTTTATCACATTATTCGTCTCTTTTAAAAAAAGATTCAATTGTGAGATCGATGAAATCCGTTTATTTGTCCACAATGCCTACAACGATTCTATGCAATGAGCATTTGATTCAAGTGGAAAACATAAACGAGCTGAGCAAATGATCTTCTTAACCTGTGCCCGGCTAGGACTAGCGGGTAGGACTAGCGGCTAGGACTAGCGGTTAGGACTAGCGGCTAGGACTAGCGGCTAGGACTAGCGGCTAGGACTAGCGGCTAGGACTAGCGGCTAGGACTAGCGGCTAGGACTAACTGGCCAGCCCATGTGAAGCCTTGTTGTTTAATTCGTGAACTTAGCTTATATTGGATTGGATATTGGATCATTCCACTATTCTAGGATAGAATTATTCATTTTTAAGTAAATAAGCTTTAAATAAATAGGTTTTAAATAATTAATTAATTATTATTAATTAATTCCCTTCAAAAATCAATTTATAGAACATTGCAAAATGATTATTTATTCACCCGTAGAAAGAAAAAAAGCTCGATATGAAAAGGTACAAAAAACTAAAGGATAAACAATGATAAAGGTTTAAAGAACAAAGATAAAGATAAATATCAAATGAATAATGATAAAGATCAAATTTCAGTCGAATAATACTGTAGATCGTCACTCGATTGCTCTCTTCGATCCTCTTTAAACGTTGAGCCGAAGACATAGAGTTGTTTGAAGAGTTGATACGTCAAAAATGACCACCAAACTTCGAAGAGGCCTAGAATTTGAATTTTCTAGATTTTGAATGGTTAGATTTGGTTTTAAACTAGATTTTGAGCGTGTCCCGAATCCCATAATCCTGCCCGACTCTAAGAATGTTTTACAGTAATCCTTATGACTAAGTAGAAGCTATTTGGGTTACTGTAACACTGGTGAGTTCGGTGGATCACCCTTAACCTCAGCTACCGTGATTTAGCTGAAAGCATATCCAACCTCACCCAAATTAAATCTAGATTTTTCCCATTCCAGGGTTGTTACAGTACTCCTTACGACTACAGTAGAAGCTATTCGGGTTACTGTAACATCTGGATTGCGGGTTACTGTCACATCTGGGTTGCGGGTTACTGTAACATTTGAATCGCGGGTTACTGTAACATCTGGATTGCGGGTTACTGTAACATCTGGATTGCGGGTTACTGTAACATCTGGATTGCGGGTTACTGTCACATCTGGGTTGCGGGTTACTGTAACATTTGAATCGCGGGTTACTGTAACATCTGGATTGCGGGTTACTGTAACATCTGGATTGCGGGTTACTGTCACATCTGGGTTGCAGGTTACGGTAGTCGGTTCCCAAATCCACCTAGCCCAATGTTCACTATAACTATGGTAGAAACTAGAAACTGTAACCTCTTACGGTACCCAGGACACTCTTTAAACGCATTATGGAAACAAACTGGAGTCGGCACTCTAAACCGTGTTCATCTTAAGGTTACGGTAACCACTACGACTACAGTAGAAGCTATTTGGGTTACTGTAACATCTGGATTGCGGGTTACTGTCACATCTGGGTTGCGGGTTACTGTAACATCTGGATTGCGGGTTACTGTCACATCTGGGTTGCGGGTTGCGGTAGCCTCTTACGGTGGCCGGCTCCCAAATCCACTTAGCTCAATTTTCACTATAACTATGGTAGAAACTAGATTACTGTAACCTCTTTTGATAGCCAGGACTCTCTTTAACTGCATTATGGAAACGAACTAGAGTCGGCACTATAATTCTTGTCCATCTCACGGTTACGGTAACCAGGACACTCTTTAAAGCGTCTACCCAGTCTTGCGGATCGATTCAACTACTTGATACCAATGTAATGTAATGCAATGTAATCTAAATTCATCACTCACCTGGAATGAAAAGCAACACTGATAGTACAACACTTGATGGGAGCAACATTTTCCCATCAATCCCTAGAGTGATCATCACCGTTATCGAAGCAATACAGAAACAAACGAAAAGCACCTGAAAATTAAAAGAAATGATTAATATTACGATCTTTTTACGTCTTTTTACAATTCACAACCTGCCACAACAAATGCGGGATCAAAAGCAACGAATTGTGCAATCGAATCCCCACCGATAAAAGGATTGAGGTGAGAATGCAAGAGATACAAACTAAAAGCTCTTCTCGTTCACTTATTGTTCCCCCATTTTTAAACCTGTCAAATGCATTGTGAAGAACCACCACCCTTTTCCATCAAAGAGACCCAAAAAGTAGAAATATCGGCCATCGGTTCGGAGGAGATCCGGCGATTGAATCAATAGGATCACTGAGAAGAAAACCTGTAACCTACTGTGACTATTTCGAATTAAACAAACAAGTTTTCCATTCTATATGTAGCTTCATTTCTTGAAAAACTTTCCAGAACCTGTTTGTTTGTCAAGGTTGGCAAAAAAATCAGGTAATATCAGGCAAAAAAAAAGCCTAGGCCTTCTAGGCCAAGCTTCTAGGCCAAGCTTTCTAGGCGTTTTTACTGAATTTCCCAAAATTTCGGGTCAAATCAAGCCAAAACAAAGGCTTTAGGTGGGTTTTAGGCCAAATCAATCGATAAATTGAAATTCTAGGTCCAAGCTGAAAGCTATTGGCTTGGCTTTGCTTTGGCTTTGGTTTGGCTTTTCCTTGGCTTTGCCTTGGCTTTGGTTTGGCTTTTCCTTGGCTTTGCTTTGGCCTTGGTTTTGGCTTGGCTTGCCTTGGCTTTGCTTTGGCTTTGCTATGGCTTTGCTTTGGCTTTGGCTTTGGCTTTGCTTTGCTTTGGCTTTGCTTTGCTTTGGCTTTGCTTTGGCTTTGCTTTGCTTTGGCTTTGCTTTGGCTTTGCTTTGGCTTTGCTTTGGCTTTGCTTTGGCTTTGCTTTGCTTTGGCTTTGCTTTGGCTTTGCTTTGGCTTTGCTTTGGCTTTGCTTTGGCTTTGCTTTGGCTTTGCTTTGGCTTTGCTTTGGCTTTGCTTTGGCTTTGCTTTGGCTTTGCTTTGGCTTTGCTTTGGCTTTGCTTTGGCTTTGCTTTGGCTTTGCTTTGGCTTTGCTTTGGCTTTGCTTTGGCTTTGCTTTGGCTTTGCTTTGGCTTTGGCTTTGCCCATCTTAACTGGCTCTGGTTTTTAACTTTTTCCCAACCTTGTCGTACTCTAGATAAAGCTTCTTAGAACCCGATTTGTCTGTTGTCCAATTTCTAGTAACAAGTTATTGCCCAACTTAAGCTCAGGCTCAATCTCCAAAGCTCAAGCTTGTCAATGACTCGAAAGTTTTCTGTCCTCAACTTTTGAGTAGAGCTCTATGCATCCAAATTGATTTTGAATTCAATAGGCCAAATCAAAGGTCAAGGTTGAAATTTAGGCCGAGGCTAATTGAAAGTGATTGACTTTGGTTTGGCTTGGTTAGCTTTTCGAACTTTAGTAGAACTAGTATCAAGCTATGATATCATTCTCATCAATCTAAAGCACTGATTAGAAAGTTTTCTGTGCTCAACGTTTGAGTGAATACGCTTGAATTGCTTGAATGCTTCTAGTCTAGGCAGTCTAGTCTTCTAATTTCTACAATTTCTAGTCTTCTACTCTTCGAATTCTAATTCTAATTTCAAAAATACTAGTAATCTTGAACCAAATTATCAAGAATTTACAATATTATAAAGATATTATAAAGATATTATAAAGATATTATAAAGAAATGATTCATCCTCACCTCAATGGCACAAATGAGTTGCACGGATCGAGGCAATGACAGCAATCCACAAAGACACATGTCCTAAAACGGTAGTTTTAGTTATGAAATCGAATTCTTGAATAATTCTTGAATAATTCTTGAATAACTTAAGCTTTTACCTTATTGATGGTCATGATTGGATATCGAAAAGTGACAGGTCGCCAATGAAAGCCGTTCATTTCTACCTTTTTTTTTCTTTCTTTAAACAGACATTCATTTCAAGAGGCTTTTTTGAAAAGAGAAAAGGTTTTACGAGTTTTTATTTCAGTAATTTGAGAAGTTTGAGAAATAGAGGGGGAGGAAAGCGCTGAAGTTTGTCAAAAAAAAAGGTGGGTGGGGTGGAAAATCTCAAAAATTGACTGCTAAATGTTACGCAAATCGTTTAGTTCAACTAATCGAGTTTTTTGACTTTAAAAATGATTGTATCAAAGTCTGGCTTAAAGAATCAACAAGTTGGAGTCAGGTTTCGTTTTTTGGGAGATTCCAATTGTCGTTTGTGTTTTCTAAAAACTGGGGAAAGGTACCGTACCCTTTCTCTAGATAATTATGTAGAAAAAAAGACGTTTTGAGAGCTGTAGATGAAAAGGAAGATCTATAGATGAAAAGGAAGATCTATAGATGAAAAGGAAGATCTGTAGATGAAAAGAAAGAGCTGTAGATGAAAAGGAAGATCTATAGATGAAAAGGAAGAGCTATAGATGAAAAGGAAGAGCTGTAGATGAAAAGGAAGAGCTGTAGATGAAAAGGAAGAGCTGTAGATGAAAAGGAAGATCTATAGATGAAAAGGAAGAGCTATAGATGAAAAGGAAGAGCTATAGATGAAAAGGAAGAGCTATAGATGAAAAGGAAGAGCTATAGATGAAAAGGAAGATCTATAGATGAAAAGAAAGAGCTGTAGATGAAAAGGAAGATCTATAGATGAAAAGGAAGAGCTATAGATGAAAAGAAAGATCTGTAGAAGAGCCTTTTTTCAAACCAAACCAGTCCTAGAGTTGCTAAACGAGGCCAGAGTCAGGTCTAGCTTTTTTCTTCAATTCTGGATCAACTTCTGGATTGAATCAAAGAGTTAAAGACATTAAAACCTTTTAAAAAACACAAATCTCCATTAGAATGATTAAGAAAATCGAGTTTTTGAAATATAATTAAATAAAAACGTTAATACCCCGGGTAAATGATGATGTCGAACTCTAATCGCATCATTCCCCTCATCCAAAAGTATCGAAATACTGTAAACATGTTGACGGGCGAATTCGGGAATGAATTTATGAGATCTTTTGAATTTAATTGCATTCATTGCATTCATTGCGCAAATCGATTGAGAATTCGAAGACATTTTGAGTGTTTTCGCTAAGTAAAAGTGCTCGTCAACCAAAAAAGCCTAAGCAACTCCTCGAAAAGTCGATGATTACGAATTCCCGCATGAGTGGCCCAGACTCATTAAAGGCTCTGGGTCACTCTTGCCTCTACAATCAAACAATCCACAATCAGGTTTACAATCAAACAATGTCTTTAGAAAGGCACAATGAAAAGCAATTTTTTCATCTTTTCCCCGAATTCAAGACCATCTGAAATTTCAAAATTCAAAATTTTTGACCCCTGAGTGACTCGAACACCCAACCTTTCGATCTGGAGTCGAACGCGCTACCATTGCGCCAAGGAGCCATAGAGGCAGAAAGGGCAATAAAGGGCAATAAAGGGAAAGCTTTCACTTGAATGGGATCGGTCGGTCGTTCTTTGCGCTCCAACGTAAACTAAATCGATCTAGCCCACCGAGTTCCTCATTTTTCCCAAAGCCAGTTTGTTATCACGAGAAAAGTGAGGAATTCGGTGTGCCAGCTCGATTTAGTTTACGGGGGAGCGCAAAGAACGAGGGAGGGGTTCCATGTTAATTTCTGTTTGTTATGAGAAAAGTGAGGAATTCGGTGTACCAGATCGTTTTAGTTTACGGGGGAGCGCAAAGAACGAGGGAGGGATTCCATGTAAACAGGCGAATTACTGTTTGTTATGAGAAAAATGAGGAATCCGGTGTGCCAGATCGTTTTAGTTTACGGGGGGGCGCAAAGAACGAGCGTTCCATGTAAACAAGCGAATTACTGTTTGTTATGAGAAAAATGAGGAATCCGGTGCACCAGATCGTTTTAGTTTACGGGGGAGCGCAAAGAACGAGGGAGGGATTCCATGTAAACAAGCGAATTTCTCTTTATTCGATCGGAAATTTGATGAACGAAAAGCGAAATTGAAATTGAAAATGAAAAAAAACATGAAATCCCCTGAGCCAACCTCACTCTAAAGTAAATGTAAAATTGTAAAAATTGGCTATAATTCGATATAGTTCGATATAATTCGTTAAAAATTCGATTCCATTGAAAATTTCGCATTTTCTTTCTCGTTTTGAAAAGAAAACTTTGAAAAAACTTTTTAAAAATGAACAAAAGAGAAGGAAAAGCTGTGAATTTATGCGAAAAAGAAAGAAAGAAAATAAGCCTTTTCTTTTTCGTCCCAAAATCCAATTTTTCGTTGAGCCTATCCCCCGCAAAAACCTTAAGTAACCAATGAAGAAAAAAAAACAAAAAGAAACTAAGGAAATGATCTGTTTTTCTTTCAAAATCTCCCATGTTAATGATAAAAATTGAATTGAAAATTGAGATTTCCAAGAAAACATTTGAATTTTCATTAAATGAATTAAATAAAATGAATTTTCAAATGAAATTCAAATGAAAAAGGAAATTTCTCGATAAGTAAACCCTAAAATTAGGGCCAGAGAGTGCTGATTTTTGGCTTTTTTTAAAGCAAAACTTGTAATTTATGAAGAAAAAGAGAGTTTTCTAACAAAATTTGATGAGTATGAAATTTAGCATCTCCTAAATTTCAACCTTTCTAGTTATCTTCCAGGATCTTCTAGTTATTTTCAATGACTTAATCTTTAAGAAGCCGTAATATAACTTAAATTTGACTCAATTGCAGAATCGCGGAGAGAATGTTGCTATTGTATAACAGATTTTGTTTTCGGATTCTATTAATTGTAAAGCATATATTCAGATTCGAAAAGCAGATTTGGGAATTTTGGTGGATTTTGGGGAATTTTGGTGAGTTTTCGTGGATTTTGGTGGATTTTGCTGACGGATTTGACTCAAACAAAAAAAAGACTCAAAAGACTCAATCATTTCTAGATCATTTACGCCACCTGTTCATTGTTTATTTCATTTCAATTCCATTTTAATTTCCATTTCAATTTCTATTTCAATTCTATTAGGTTGATGCATAAGTCTTTTCGTTTTTTTCGTACTTCTGTTAAAAAGTAACAAATTCACCAATTAATCTATAGTTTGCTCTATAAAAAAAGTGTTTTTTTGTTCAATTTGCATCTTTTTAAATGAATTTCGGTTCACTTTCAAGCAAATTCGAGAGTGAAAAACGCCTTTTTCGTAAAAATCTATAAAAAACTCTACGGAAAAATTGGCTCAATGAATTTCTCTGAAATTTTGGCGAAATATCAAACGTTTTTTTTCTCTATCTTTTATCTATTGACACGAAGATAGGTTTTCTTTAGCTAAGGTGTCTAAACCGCATCATCGAGTTAGCCCTTTTTGACTACCCGACTTGATACTCTCAAGAAAATCCAGGCATTTCTTTAGCTAAGGTGTCTAAACCGCATCATCGAGTTAGCCCTTTTTGACTACCCGACTTGATACTCTCAAGAAAATCCAGGCATTAAATATTTTTAAACCCGTTTTAATGTTATTTTGCAGAAAAATAATTGCTTTTTCTAATGAAATCAACCGTAGTTTAATTCGTGCATTTGTTGGCTTGAAACGGCAGACGAAAATGAACAAAAACACTTATGCATCAACCTAATATTTTAATTCCATTTCAATTCTATTTCAATTCTATTTCAATTTCTATTTTAATTCCATTTCAATTCCATTTCAATTCCATTTTAAATTCCCACCATTTTGAGGAGACTTTTTGATAGTTTTGATTCAATTCATTATTCAATTCATTATTCAAAATTCAATTCAATTACCATTATCAACAATTCAACAATTTCAACGCCTACCTTTGTTCCAAGTAGAACAATTCTTGAGCGAAATTGTCGTAAAGCTTCAGCGTGTACGGCATTGTACTCAGCGACGCCATCCGTTGCAGACTGGCCGCTAAAAGAGTTGAACGATTAACGGAATTGTCTAATTTATCAGTATTGTTATGTTAGGTTTAAACAATATGTTTACTGAGTTCTTTTAGAGCCTCAATTCTTCCAAGGATCAGTTTCTATGGCCGTAAAAAGTCGAACTAAAGCCAATAGGCGCGTCCAACTTTCAAATAGCCAATCTCAGTCAATTTCACTCGATTTCACTATCTGAAACTTCGGAATTTGAAATTCGCAAAAATTTTTTGACCCCTCGGTGACTCGAACACCCAACCTTTCGATCTGGAGTCAAACGCGCTACCATTGCGCGAAGGAGCCATGGGGGTGAGGGGGCAGAAAGGGCAATAAAGGGCAATAAAGGGAAAGCTTTCATGAATGAGATCGGTCGGTCGTTCTTTGCGCTCCAACGTAAACTAAATCGATCTAGCCCATTGAGTTCCTCATTTTTCTCACAGCATCAGTTTGTTTTTTCCCAGGTATGGGTCTACCTCGGAGGCATGGGTCTACCTCAAAGGCATGGGTCTACCTCGGTTTCGCGAGGTATGGGTCTACCTCTGTGCGTACTCTTAGAGGTAGGGGAATACCGGCCAACTCACACTTTGTTTTGAAAAATGAGGAGTTCGGTGTGCTAGCTCGATTTAGTTTACTGGTGAGCGCAAAGAACGACAGAGCGATTCCATGTTAACAAGCGAATTGCTGTTTATTAGAGATCGAAAATTTGATGAATGAAAAAGAATGACCGTTGCAGACTCTCCGCTAAAAGAGTTGAACGATTAGCGGAATTGTTTATCCGTATTGTTATGTTAGGTTTAAACAATATGTTTAATAAGTTTTTTAGAGCCTCAAGTGTTCTTCCAAGGATCAGTTTCTATGGCCGTAAAAACTCAGCCTAAAGCCAATAGTCGTCCAACTTTCAAATCGCATATCTCAGTCAGTTTCACTCTAATCTTTTTCATTTTAATATCAATTGACGCGGAATTTCATTTTCTATCGATTGAAATGAGATTCAAAAAGGATTTAAGTGAAATTGAGGAAGAGATTGGTCAAGAGATTGGTCAAGAGATTGGCCAAGAGATTGATCAAGAGATTGGTCAAGAAATTGATTAAGAAGTTGGTTAAGAAGTTGGTCAAGAAATTGGTCAAGAGATTGGTCAAGAGATTGATCAAGAAGTTGACCAAGAAGTTAACCAAGAAATTGATCAAGAGATTGATCAAGAAATTGACCAAGAAATTGACCAAGAAATTGGCCAAGATACAGTGCGTTTGCACATCAACTTCCCCGCCTCAGAAAAAGCTCTTTTCCAAATCTACAATGTAATTTTGCTAAAACCGATTACTAATTATAAAAAATAGATATAAATTCAGGATTTTTCGCTAGAAAAGAAAGAATTTTCAGCTTTAAAAAAAAAGTTTTTCAAGAAAAGAAAAAATTAAACCGCTTCACATCAATTTTTACTTTGATCTTTGCATCTTTTTCCGTCTTTTTATAAACACTATTTTATAATGAGTAGAACCTTTGTGCTTTATCCAACTTCAAACAGATCACTTGGCATTGAGTTCACGAGGTTTTGACGGGCCTACTGTCAGCTTTGTTCACACAAGCGCATTTCTAGGGTTTATGTCAAATATATGCTTGAAAAAACGACGGTTATTTTGTGTACATTTGTCTATTTTGTCTATTTTGTCTATTTAAACTATTTAAACTATTTAAAGCTTCTAGAATACGACTAGATCTAGAATAGATAGAATAGACTAGAATAGATCTCGTATCTTTCACTAGAAACACTAGAAACACTAGAAACACTAGAAACACTAGAAACACTTTTAGAATCTCACCTTTTGTCTGGAGAAGCTACTTGATCACTTTCTGACCCGATTTTATCCCATTCAAGCTAGATATTTGGAAGAGTTTTTGAATGGAAGATGTTAGGGTGATTCCAAGGATTATTTTGGTACATCATACGTTTCGATCAGACTAGTTTCAGGTAATCTACAAGCTTGTGAACTCATGACCTGCACAGGTCAATGGATCTAGTAGCATTGACTTTGCAAAGTGTTTTCACAATGTTTTACTGGTCCAATCGAGACGTATGGTGCATCAAAATAATCCCTGGAATCTCCCTAACATCTTCCATTCAAAAACTCTTCCAAATATTTCGTTTGAATGGGATAAAATCGGGTGTGAAACGCACTGAATGGCATTTTTCTGGCCATTTTTCCAAGCTATTTCTCCGTTGAATACCAATTGAGGTTCAAATGGAAAATTCTCAAATCTAGTAATAAAACCAGGTCAACGGCAAGATCCAGGCTTTCTTTCTGACTTTCTTAAGTGCTTTTATGGCTTGACTGGTCTTTGATCTTGGTTAAAGAAGATTAAAACCTTAACCAGACTAGGTAGGACTAGATAAGGCCAGGTTTTTAGTCAAGCTAACATAACAAGGCTTGGTTTTCTAGTTTGGCTTTTCTAGATTTGTTCCATTGTAAAGCTAGATCAAATAATAGATCAAATAATAGAGAATAATAGAATTCCCTAAATTTCCGCAATCTGTTATTCTTTTAATTACCTTGTCGTCCTTTCCATCAAAAGCCTCTGAGCAAAGACTGAAAGTTCGCTCATTGAATAAGAGAATTGCATTGTAAAAAAGAAATTGTATAGAAAACAAGTGTTGTTAAAATATGAGTCGATTTTTGTTTTATTTTTAAGGATTTAGAAGAAAAGAAAGAGGGGAAAAGTGGTCGCGCATCGCAATGAAACAATTAGATTCGCCTTCAGACAAAAAAGGAGATGAGAAAAGGATAAAACAAAAAGGGGGAAAAGCGAGTTCATTCGAGGTCCTTCATCCAGCAAAAGCTTTAAGAGAATTGAATGAAATTTCCAAAAGAAACGATTAGTTTTTCTTGAGAAAAGACTAGATTTTCTTGAGAAAAGACTTTGCAAGAGAATTGAGAAGAATTTGGGCTGATTTGATACTATTCGTTCCTAGGTATAAACGAGTTTCATTGTTTTGTTATCATTATAGGATCCATTGGACGAGCGCTCTGATATTTTCACTGCAATCGATATTCTTAAGCGTCTAAATCTTTATGAATCCAGAGTAAAGCCGTGGCTTTTCAAAGAAACTGTTGAATATTCAAACAATATTCAAACAAAATGTTTCTGCAATGTGGAATTGATTCGAATAAAGATGAAATGATAAGCTTTCAAAAGATGAACTAAAGATGAAAAACTAGGAAGGAGGTGTGACCCTCGATTACAGTATTTACGGTAACAATAAGGAAAACTTTTGCCGACGAGGGTTTCCCCTTTAGGTTCGTTTCTAGGTATAAACGGATATGGACTAGAATTTGGGTTAAGTTAAAGAGAGTGGATCCTTTTGATATCCCGCCATCTCTAACACCCCGACAACCCAACTCAACTCCTCCAACGTATTAGAGGGGAATCCCTGTGAAATGACCGACCTGAACTGCAGTTGCATAGACCCGGAAGATATAAATCTTTATTTATGATAAGATGAATAGATTACAAATGAGTGCAAGGGGAAGGGGGGACTCCAAATGAGAGTCTCACTTGTCTCAGTCTCAAGTCTCACTTGTCTCAGTCTCAAGTCTCACTTGTCTCAGTCTCAAGTCTCACTTGTCCTCCTAGGCAATCCCAAGGATTGTCGCCCCTTCTCGGCAATAAAAGGGATAAGCACAGGGGAGAACACATTTGCATAAGAATAGAATAAAATAGATCCTTGGCCAGAAGCTGAGGCTTTTGATTTATAACTGACAAAGTGAAGTCAAAAATGATGAGTGAAAGGGGAAGGGGGGACTCCAAGTGAGAGCCTCACTTGGATAAGCACAGCCTCTTGGATAAGCACTTGGATAAGCACAGCCACAGCCACAATCCAAAGGAGCCATTCCAAAGGATCCAATCCGAAGGAACTATTCCAAAGGATCCATTCCAAAGGATCCATTCCAAAGGATCCAATCCAAAGGAGTCATTCCAAAGGAACCATTCCGAAGGAGCCATTCCAAAGGATCCAATCCGAAGGAACCATTCCAAAGGAACCATTCCAAAGGAACCATTCCAAAGGATCCAATCCAAAGGATCCAATCCAAAGGAGCCATTCCAAAGGATCCAATCCGAAGGAACCATTCCAAAGGAACCATTCCAAAGGAACCATTCCAAAGGATCCATTCCAAAGGATCCAATCCAAAGGAGCCATTCCAAAGGAACCATTCCAAAGGAGCCATTCCAAAGGAACCATTCCGAAGGAGCCATTCCAAAGGATCCAATCCGAAGGAACCATTCCAAAGGATCCATTCCGAATGATCCATTCCAAAGGATCCAATCCGAAGGAACCATTCCAAAGGATCCAATCCAAAGGATCCAATCCAAAGGAGCCACTCCAAAGGAACCATTCCGAAGGAGCCATTCCAAAGGATCCAATCCGAAGGAACCATTCCAAAGGAACCATTCCAAAGGATCCAATCCAAAGGATCCAATCCAAAGGATCCAATCCAAAGGATCCAATCCAAAGGATCCAATCCAAAGGATCCAATCCAAAGGAGCCATTCCAAAGGATCCAATCCAAAGGATCCAATCCAAAGGATCCAATCCAAAGGATCCATTCCAAAGGATCGCCCCTTCTCGACGATTAAATGGATAAGCACAGGGATAAGCACATTCAGCGCATAAGAATCGAATAAAATAGACAAATCATTCAATAATAACAATAGTAACTAAAATATCAGTTGAGCTGACAGCTGACAGACTGACAGCTGGAGCTGACAATACTCGAAATAGGTTTTAGTGTACTTTTGTGCTCTGAATTGATAAACACATTCTTTCTGTCTCACTGTTTATCACGGTTTATCACTATTTTCACTAGATTCTTTCATTTTCTTATAAAAATATATAAAAACAAGCGATTTCTGTAGGAAAATGAAGAACTCAATGCACTAGAAGGGATTCGTTTACAAGAATCAGCATAAAGTACTCTTTAAAGATCAGGAATTTTTATAATAGTCTAGCTAAAATTGTCCAGGAACACATAATTCTCGTTTTTTCTTTTGTCAATAAGAATTCTCGTTCATTTTCATTGTTTATCCGAGCATGAAATCGAGAAAAAGTGAAGGGAAAATGGGAATTTTTTTGGTTATTTCCTTAAAAAGGAAAGAAATTGAAAGAAATTGAAAGAAATTAGTTGAATTTGAAGCAATTCTGCAAGAAAATGAAGAATTCAATCAATTCAGTCAATCAATTATAATCAGAATTGTATATATAAGTCGCCCGCATAAAGAGACCCCAAAAACTTGTATGCCAAATATCTTGCGATAGAGAAGCGTTTGGCAAAAACTGATTGCAGATTCGGAATCAGCGTAAAAAAAACTGCAGCAGATAGGCTATTTCCCGAGTCAAAAGCAACGATCCAGCCAGCCAAGTCAACAAAATTCCTTAGTAAGATCTAAGATCAATCAAAATCTTATTCTCTAGGTGAAAACCTGGGTAACATCCAACGAGATCATCCCAAATGCCTCTTTTGGTGTGGTCCCGATGGAGGATTTGCCCAAATTTGCGTTGGATCCCGTGATACCGCTGGAGCAATGGAATATCACCAAAAGACAGGTGCAAGATTTTGAATTGAGCTTAAATGGATTGAGCATTGAGAAGATAAAGTTTCCCGATGAGTGTAAAAGAAATCCCTGATCAATACAGGCTCCTTACGTGGCCGCACATCATCAAATCCTCGCGCACGCCAGTGTTTACCGTTTGTACAAAGAGGAATTCTATTCAAAGCAAAAAGGTAGTTGAATGACTTGAAATAGTTTAGTTTATTCTCATAGATTTATGCAGTTTTGAATCAAATTCTCATAGATTTATGCAAAAATTTTAGGCAAAATCGGAATCGTTTCCAGTGGTCGAGCCGCTGAAAATCCTGAAAATCCTGAAAATCCTAAAAAGAGTTTTGAGGCGGCAAAAAGGATGATCAACTGACAATTTTTGTGGATGAATGAGCCAATCTTCGGTGATGGTTCGTTTATCAATATATGAAATTGATAGAATCAAGTTTTTTTGTTAGAAAAAGAACAGCTTTAAGTTTTCCTAGATTTCTTGTTTTTTAAAGCTAAAGAAAACAGCTATCGGAGTCTAGCTTTAGCCTTTACTTTGTTAAATTTTAATACTCTAGCCTCAAGAATTTGAACCTCAAGAACCTGAACCTCAAGAACTAGAACCTCAAGAACTAGAGTCTGAAGGACTTGAACCTCAAGAACTTAAGCCTCAAGAACTAGAACTTCAAGAACTAGAACCTCAAGAACTAGAACCTCAAGAACTAGAACCTCAAGAACTTGAACCTCAAGAACTAGAGTCTGAAGAACTTGAACCTCAAGAACTTAAACCTCAAGAACCTGAACCTCAAGAACTTAAACCTCAAGAACTAGAGCCTGAAGAACTTGAACCTCAAGAACTTAAACCTCAAGAACTAGAACCTCAAGAACTAGAACTTCAAGAACTAGAACCTCAAGAACTAGAACTTCAAGAACTAGAACCTCAAGAACTAGAACTTCAAGAACTTGAACCTCAAGAACTAGAACTTCAAAAACCTGAACCTCAAGAACCTGAACCTCTGATTTGTGATTTGATTTGTACCACTGAAAGCTAATGGGATACTAATATAGTTTTTTCAGATTTCCTTCAGTTTAAACTCTTTTCCGATCCTAGTTTCATATAAAATTTGAAAAAACAAAAAAACAGACCCTAGAAATGGCTCGAAGATGAACGCTTGTGACATCTTTTCGTAAAACTAAAATAAATTTATTTATGATGATATCAATATCAAAAATAAATCAAACAAATCGCGTAGATCGTGAGCTCTGTTTTGTTACAAGGAAGAAAAAGACAAGGAAGAAGACAAGGAAGAAGTTGAAAGAAGTAAAGCAGAAAGCAGAAAGAAGCAAAGCAGAAAGCAGAAAGAAATTTCACTGAATACCCGACTAATTGAGGCTTTCAATTGAGGCTTTTTGAGAAAACTTTCATATAAAATAAGTTTTTATTTGTTTGAAAAATAGTAAACACTACGTGAAAAGAAAAACATTTAAAGTAATTTGAAGTAATTTGAATTTTGGGAGCAATTGCCCACCGTCTCAGGGAGCAATTGCCCTGGGTCTCCGAGTTTTAGAGTCTTTGCTTTGACTGAGCGTTGTTTGAGCTGTGCACCTCTCAGCTTTCCGACAATTCCCTTGGCTTTAAAGTACCCGGGTACTTAGGAGTGCCATTCTCCTTTACCTTAGATTATTTTAAACTATCGAAAATCCTTTTCCCCTTTTCAGTACTGAAAGCCTTTTCAGCAATACTTCTCACCTGAAGCTTAAAGCTTAGAAAGCTCCAAAAAGCTGCAATCTATGCGACCTATGAAAAATCAGAGTAAAAAACTGCAGCACTTGGGGGGCTATTACTAGCCCCCCAAATCCCCCTAAGCACTCTCCGGTGAGGGAGGGGGTCACCCTGAGCTATCTTGGAGGAATCACCCTTACCTCAAGCTCTGACGAAGACGCGCCACCGTCTCAGGGAGCAATTGCCCTGGGTCTCCGAGTTTTAGAGTCTTTGCTTTGACTGAGCGTTGTTTGAGCTGTGCACCCCTCAGCTTT